AAACACATGGGACTATCTTAATATAAGAAGCTTCTGCACCTCAAAATATACACTATCCAGAATACAAAGACAAACTACAGAATGGGAAAGGATATTCACCCAATACCCATCCAATAAGGGGTTGATATCATGGATATACAAAGCACTGGTTAAACCATCCAATCCTACCAAAAAAATGGGGCAATGAAATGAACTTTGAGAAAGTTTCTCAAAGAAGAAATATGAATGGCTAAAAGGCAAATGAGAAAATGCTCTACATCACTAATCATCAGGGAGATGCAGATCAAAACAACAATGAGATACCATCTTACACCACAGAGACTGGCCCACGTCCAAAAGAACAAAAGCAACAGGCGTTGGTGCAGATGTGGCAAGAAAGGGACTCTCTTTCACTGTCGATGGGAATGCCAACTGGTTCCGTCCTTTTGGAAAACAGTGTGGATGAGTCTAAAAAAATTAGAAATTGAACTCCTATTTGACCCAGCAATACCACTCCTGGGAGTATATCCTGGAGAGGCAAAAAAGTATAGTTGAAGTGACATCTTCACTTCTATGTTCATTGCTGCACTCTTTAAAATAGCCAAAATCTGGAAAAAACCTGAGTGCCCAAGAACAGATTATTGGTTAAAGAATCTTTGGTACATGTATACAATGGAGTACTATGCAGCTGTTAGAAAAGATGAAGTCATGAAATTTACATACAAGTGGTACTACATGGAAAGTTTCATGCTAAGTGAAATGAGTCAGAAAGAGAGGACAGCCATAGAAAGATTGCATTCATCTGGGGAACCTAAAGTAACAAAATAGGAGACAGACACTGAAGAATATTTGAGATAAGTTTCAGGAGGTTCACTCCATGGCTTGCAGGCCAGCCGCACATGCTAGGGGACAGGGCAGCTCAGATAGAGAAGGGGCCCCCAAGTAAAGGGTGTTTGGAGGATCCTCGCAGGATGGGAGACGCATGCTGAAAGTAGACTATAGACAGAACATGATTGCTACTCAATACCTCTTTTTCAAACCACAGAACCCGAAAGGAGAGAGAGAATAAAAAGGAATTCCCTTTCATGGAGGCTTTTTGAGATGGGGGGAGTGGGGGGATGGGAGAGATACTGGGGTCTTTGGTAGTGGAGAATGGGCACTGGTGGTGGGATGGGTACTCGATCATTGTATAACTGAAACCTAAGCACAAAAATTTGTAAACCTACAACTGTACCTCTTGGTGTTTCACTAATAAAAATAAACACCTAGCAATGCTCACAAAGAAATAAAGAGAAATGAATGTTGCAATTAGGTAAAGGGATAAACATGTAAACTATAATGCATAAAAGGTGAGAGAAGGAGAGAGAGAGAGAGAGAGAGAGAGAGAGAGAGAGAGAGAGAGAGAGAGAGAGAGAGAGAGAGAGAACAGTGCCTGCAATAGAGGCAGGGCCGAGAGTGGGAGGGAAACTTAAGACATTGATGGTGGGAAATGTACACTAGTGAAGGGATGGGTGTTGCACCATGATATGACTGAAATCAAAGCATGAACATCTTTGGTACAGTGTATCTTCCTGTGATTCAATTAAAATAGTAAATTAAAAAGTTAACTAACACCTCCTACAAAAAATATAAAGAGAAAACCCAAATTAAGGGCATTAGAAATAAAAAGTGAGGCATCATAACAGATGAGACAGAAATCCAAAGGAACATCAGGGATTGCTTTAAAAACCTTTATGCCTTTAAATAGATAACATAGAAGAAATCTATTTCTTGGACTCCTATGAATGGCCTCGCAAGGTTGAACCAAGACGACATAGAAACCCTGAAGAGACCAATTACTATCAAGGAAACGGTGGTAATCAAAAGTATCCTCCAAATCAAAAGCCAAGACCTAGATGGATTCACTAGTGAGTTCTTTCAAATCTCTAAAGAAGACCTTCTGCCCATCCTATCCAGGTTCTTTCAGGAAATCAAATAAACAGAAAAACTCCTAAATGATCTCTATGAAGCAAACATTACCTTGATACTAAAAGCAGAGAGAGAAGACAAAAAAGGAAAAATTGCAGAATAACATCGCTGGTAAACACAGACAAAGAGATCCTCAATGAAATGCCAGCACATTGAATTCAACAACAGAAAAAAAAAATCATACACCATGACCAAAGGGGATTCATCTTTGGAGTGCGAGGATAGTTTAACATATGCAAGTCAATCAATGTAATATACCATCTCAATACAAGAAAATTAAAATTCATATGTTAATAGAAACTGTAGTAGAGAAAGCATTTGACAAGGTCCAGCACCCATTCATGATTAAATAAAGGCTTTAAAAAAGGAAATGGACGGAACTTTCCTCCCCATCATAGTCAAAGCCATTTACCACAAGCCTACAACAAACATTACATTCGGTGGGGAAAAACTGAAAGTCTTTTCTTTCAATTCAGGCACAAGATAAAATACCCACTCTCACCACTTCTATTCAATATATTATTGGAGGTATTTGCCATAGCAATTAGTCAAGAGAAGATATTAAGAGCATCCAGATAGTAAAGAAGTGAAGCTATCACTATTTTCAGATGACAAACTCCAGGAAAAAACTGATTTGTATAGTAAAGTGGCAGGCTACAAAAGTATCACGCAATAATTTATATATTTTATATAAAAATAATGAAATACAAAAGAGAGGTTTAAAAAATTTCATTTCCACGGTGCCTTGAAAATTAGGTACCTAGGCTGGAGCGATAGCACAGCAGTAGGGCATTTGCCTTGCACGCAGCCAACATGGCCGACCCGAGTTCGATTCCTCCGCCCCTCTCGGAGAGCCCGGCAAGCTACCGAGAGTATCTCGCCCGCACGGCAGAGCCTGGCAAGCTCCCCGTGACGTATTCGATATGCCAGACACAGTAACAACAAAGTCTCCAATGGAGACATTACTGGGCCCGCTTGAGCAAATCGATGATCAACGGGAGGGCCTTTACTTTTACTTACTTTTAGTTATCAGCTTAATAAAAGAGGTGAAAGATTGATACAAAGAAAATTACAAAATAAGACATGAAAGAGGACACAAGGAAATAGAAACCCATCTCCTGCTTGTGGACCGGGAGGATTAATATTGTCAAAAAGGAAATACTTCCTAAAGCTTTATACAGATTCAATTTAGTTCCTATAAGATTACCCATGACATTTTTTCAAAAAACCAGAGAAAACACTCCTAAAATTCATTAGGAAAATAACTCCCCTCCCCCCAACAAGTAGTTAAAGTAATCCTTAGGAAGAAGAAGAAGGGAAACATGACTTTCTCCAACTTCAAACTGTATTACAAAGTTGTAGCAATTAAGACAGATTGGTACTGGAAAAAGGACAGATTCTCATTGGAACAGAATTGAAAAGTCAGAGACAGATCTTCAGGTACAATGTCAGGCAATCTTTGAAAAAGGAGCAAAAACCATTGGAGTGAAGCAAGAAAATACTCTCCAACAAGCAGTTCTGGGAAAACAGCTTGGCCACATGTAAAAAAGAAAAAAAGAAAAGAATCTTAGACCCCTCCATAATGCCATGCACATGATTAAATCAACCTGGATTAAAGACCTCAATATCAAATACTTGATTTATAAATAAAGGAAAATAGAGGCAGGGCTCTCTATAACATTGAAGTTAAAGATATCTTTAAGGATGCAATATTACTGACCAAAGAAGTGAAAGAAAAATAAACAAACATGACTACATTAAATTTAGAAGCCACTGCACTTCAAAGAAACTACAGAGAAATTCCACAGAATAGGAGAAATTACAAACCCATCACTAATCTGATGTAGAAATTTGCAGAAAAATGCCATCCAAACCCAACCAAAAATGGGGAGAAGAGAACGACAGAAATGTGTTCAAAGAAGAAATATAAATGGCCAAAAGACATGTGAACAAAATTCTCAGCATTACTAATCATCAGGTAGATGCAAATCCAAACAACAAGTTTCATTTCAGCACTCTTCATGATAGCCAAAGTCAGGAAACAATCTGAGTGCCCAAGAACAGAGGACCAGATACAGAAACTAAGGTACATCTACACAATAGAATCCTATTAAGAAAAGTCATAAGAAAAGATGAAGTCATGCAATAGTATGCTATCTGGATGGATCTGTAGCATCTCATGATGAGAAAAGTTATTAAGAGGGAGAGGGACAGACGCAGAATGATCTCTCACATCTGGGATATTAATAAACACAGAAGGGGAGTAACCAATGCCCCAAGCCAATAGAAAAGAAGAGCAGGAGAACTTAAGTTCAGCAAAAGATTTCCATTGGACCATGTGGAGGGGTGCAGGTCAGGGAAGAGAATCCTGGGGCAATGGTAAAAGAAAAGTGTCATGGTGTCAGATTGGGGAACAGAGGGCTACTGGGGACACTGCTCGCGGGAAATGGTTCTGAAGAATAGGTATTGGATGATTGTACACCTGGAACTCATTCATGAATAACTTTGGAACTTTATAATTCATGGTCTTTTAATCAGAAAAGAGGATGAACAAGTGTGTTAGTGAATCAGTAAATTAATGAGTGACTAAGCGCAGTAGTAAATGATTGAGTAACGGAATGAGTTAATAAATGAACAAGTGAATGAGTGAATAAAAGAGTGAATAAAAGAGTGAGTGAATGAGTGAGTGAATGAATGAAGGAATGAATGAGTGCGTGGAACAGTGAGAGGATGAATGTGTCTCCACTCTCACTGGTCCCCTCTGTTCCCTGCTTATCCATGCACAACAATGAGATAGAAGGTAGCATATAAATTGCTGGGTCACTTGGGTTTTTCTGCCTGCCCCTGAGCACATTTTACTCAGAGGCTGCTGGACCTCTGTTCCTGCATGGCACCCTCAGAATGAGGAAGGCACCTATACTCAGGGAGCCTCCCCCATGTGTACCCCCTACCTGGGATCCCATTACTGGTTCTGGCATTCGTGGGTCCCAGTGTGGTGGGGGTGGGAAGGAGAGGATCAAGAAAAATGGTCAATAAAGAAAGGGATGTGTTACCTCGCCTTCATCGAGTTCCTCCAGCGTTGGAGGGTGTCTGGGAGCAGTGCAGCCTCCACCTCAGCCATGTGACCCTCATCAGGGAGGATGAGGAGGGCACAGGTGCTGTTGTCCCTGTATGGGAGCTGCACCACAGTGCAGCCAAGAGCATCATCCCGGAAATAGGGCTCCCACAGGTTCTCGGAAGCCATCATGGGCACCTCCACCTTCCTGCTCTCGCTCACGTGGAAACTTGACATGGACGTGTCATTGGGGTTGAAGGCCGACTTCCATTTGGCTAGCGGCAAAGAGAATGGTGGAGAACTTGACCCAGGGATGCCCTCCCTGCCCAAGCCACCCAGTTTTGACTGGGCCAAGGGTCATACTGGTCAGGCCGAAACCTGGGACTAGAGGAGCTGGTTGTGCTGAGGGAACAGCCTTCTGTTCAGTGCTGAGGGAACAGGCTTCTGTTCAAATTCTGGTTGTAGGTAAGCAAGGCATTGTCCAGCCTTACCAGGAGCCCAGTCCCTTCTACACCAATCCACAGCATTGGGGATTGGGAAAGTTCTTGGACTCTGCACCCAGGATCCACAGCTGATTTACCTGGGACTTCAGGCCAATACAGAAGTCTGTGGTGGAGCCCTGGGAGCTGACTGAGGCCTGTAGGACACCACCCACAGGCCCATCCTCCTGCTCCTTCCCAGAGCCTCCCATCCTGCACAAAGCACCCCTGTCCTATGCCCTTCCCTGTCTCCTCCTCAGCACGGGCTCCTGGGATCAAAGCAGGATGCGCAGGACAGAAGAAGCCTGAAGGCTCAGAGATCACGCTCGTTTCCCTCCCATACATGGGTGACCTCACCTTTGAAGAAGAGGAAGTTCACCAAGACCATCCTGGTTTGTGCGTCCAGGCCCTTGACCAGCTTCTTGATTTTCCCCTTGGTTTTCTGCTCCACGTAATCGTTGATGAGCTTCTCTGAGGTTGCGAGATCCTGGAAGTCTGTGGAGACAGCATCGGCGGCGTACAACGCCTGGGCCTCCTGACGGAAATGCTCCTGCAGGCGCAGCTGCTGGTCTAGGAACATGGCACTACCCACATTCTTATGCAAGGGCCCGCCAGGCCGGCTCAGATGTCTCAGTAGCTGCTGGAAGCCCTGGTGGATGTCGGCCTCGGGGTTCTCGGTGAGGTTGAACTTGAGGCCCTGTAGGATTTCGGTCTGGGTGTGGCCACGGGCCCCCAGTGCCAGGAAGGCCAAGGCCATGGAGATAGAGAGTGGGGAGAAGATGACGTTGGTTTCGGGATGCTGGGAAGCCAAGACCTTGTAGAGACTGAAGGCGAAGTCGGTGTTGCTGCGGGCTAGACTGAGGGCTCCCATCAAAGTGATGTTATCACTGTCTGCCCAGGTCACCGTGTCCGGCTCGGTGGTTCCCTCCGGGTGGCTGAGGACTTCTGGGTAGAGCGCAGCCCCCAGGAGCAGGGCCAGCAGGGCTGACATGCCTCTGCCCTCACACTGCAAGTCAAAGCATCTTTCAGGGTTTTGCCCGCAGTGTCCCTGCTGCCTCCCTGACCACATAGTGTTCTTCTCTGTTCTCCAGGGGCTGGTGATAAGGCACCTCTTGCTCTCCCACCCCTGTACCAGTGCAAGCCAGTGGGTTGGGGGGACCGTTGTTTGCAGGAAACAGCAAACAGATTCCTAGACCTTCACCGTCTGCCCCGTTTATGCCCTCGGTGGTTTACTTATTCTCGGACTGGTGCAGCCATTTCTTTACAGAGGGCTCCACCTCACATCATTGCCAGAGAAAGGGCTCATCTGATTTTCAAGTTGTGGCAGGTGGGTGTCTATGTCACTTTGTACAGCTATAGCCCAGCTTTGTGCTTGGCTGAGTCACGTTGTGGGGGAAACTGCGGGCCCCTCTAGGGACTTGGGCCTTGTTCAGGAGGAATTAAGCACCGCCTGCACTGCTCAGTGCTCAGTTCTCAGCCAACAAGGGTCCTCCTGTCCCCAGGGTGTCAGAAGTGCAGGTCCTGGCATTTGTATTGGGTGTAGAAGGTATGCAGTGCCATCTGTCTTGGGTTCCTGACTCTATGGGGTGTCAGTAGTATGGGAATGCCCCACATATGGGGCTCCCAGTTGTAGGTGTATCAGATAATTTGGACTCCCACTTGTCAGAACCAAAGCAGAAATGTTTCACGCCCATATGGCACAGAAAATTTTCCCTTTTGTGGGAAACTTAGCCACACCAGGAGGCCTGCAGAGTCTCAGGTCTTAGATACCCCCCACCCTGTCGCTGGGTTTTGGGGACCCCACTCGTCCCCACTCATCCCTACTCCCTGCATACTCCTAGGTCTGATTTAGAATCCTTTGAGGAGGGCCATTGAATTCTCAGCATGGGAGTTGAAAGCATCAGAATTACCAGTCTAGGAGATCTGGACAGCCACCCTGGGACCCACAGCCACTGCCTAGAGCGAAAGGAGGGAAAGATAGACAGAGAGACTCACACACACACACACACACACACACACACAGAACCAGAGCCAGCAGCTCCTTCTAGCCTGAGGTCCTTCTAAACTACCAACTCTACCCACTGAGGGGACACGTGCCCAGAACTCTGTGCCCAACCCGGACTTGCCTTCATGGTCTCTTCTGAAATCAGGAATCAACCAGTCTCTGGAGTCTGGGATTTTAGGGAAAATCTCAATTTATTCTTTCTCCATAGGGACCTTCCTGCCACCCCAAATCAAAGTCCCAATCTCTCTTGTTTGCTTTCATTGGTTTATTGATGACTCCCAAGGACATGCAATACCCAGAAAGTAAACAAGCTATTGGAACATTCATGAAATTCCATCACCATATAATACCCTGCCCAACAATTTGCAAAATCTTTTGTAAATTGCTATTTTTACTAATAGTTTGTATATGAACTGAATCTCCATATAAAAATATTGATTTATTGTTTACTTGGTTTCATTTTCTTGGTATATTAATCAGAGTGAGAGATTGCTTTTGGTCCACACCAACATTGCTCAGGGCTTGCTCCAGGCCTTGCACTCAGGAATCCTTACTGGCAGAGCTCAGGGGACTGTATGTGGTGCTTGGAATTGTATCTGGGTCTGATATGTGCAAGTCAAATTATCTACCGTTGTACCAATCACTCCGCCACAACACTCCCGTCACCAGAATTGCCCCATCCATGTTCAATGACTGGCATGGCCTAGTCTCCAAGCACTGCAGATCACCACCTGGACACTGTTTAGGAACAGCCTTGATTTGCTGCAAACATACATACACACTGTAGCAATGCACTGTAGCACTGTCCTCCCGTTGTTCATCGTTTTTGCTCAAGGGAGCACCTGTAACATCTCACAACAAATTGTGAGACTTGTTGTTACTGTTTTTGGCATATTGAATACGTCATGGAGAGCTTGTGGGCAAGATACTGTTGGTAGCTTGCCGGGATCTCCATGAGGGGCGGAGGAATCGAACCCGAATTGACCGCATGCAAGGCAAATGCCCTACCCACTGTGCTATCATCCAACCACCAAATATACTTATACAGAAAACTATAGTCTGTTACACACAAATAGAAAAAATTGCTATGTGGTAGATTTTCGTGGGCATATTTTCCTGTTCAGACCCAGGTCCTCTGAGTTCCAATGGGGCCATAACCTTTATCTGCAGCCCCTGGAGGTTGAATGGGGCCTAATGTTGGGAAACCTCTGTCTGACTGCCCTGAGGTGCCTTTGTGATCATGTGAACCAGGTATAAGGTGATCTAGAATAACAAATCGCAGAAAAATGGATCGGGTCACCCCAAGGACATAGGGACAGGACACCCTGGGAATACACTGCATTTAGTCAAAATAAACATCATGCATTATTCTCCCCAGCTGCCATAGAAAATAATGCGTTTCCAAAATAACTGCCCCAGGCTAAACTACCCCTCCCCTGAAATTGGCTTTTGTACTAAGGTTGTGCTTGCTTGCTTTAGCTGACAGAAAGCCGATGCTGTTGCCAAACAAGAAGTGATAAACAACACTTATAGACCATGCCTGGACCCAGAATTGGGGCTCCTCAGCAGACTGACACCTCTTTTCCTAGACGGGCAGGTCCTTCAGGTTAATGAAGGCTCTTCAATTCAGTAAATAAGCATGATAGAAGCTTCCTGGGAAATTTCTTTCTATAACATTTGGAGGCCCTTTCGAGATCTGTCCAAAAGTCCTTGATTGGCTTCATGCCTCACATAATCGTGAGCTAGTCCTGAGCTGGGGGAGACTACCAGGTCGGCACCATTTTTCTTTTTACAAGGAAACTGGACACTCCTCTGGTTTGTGGGTGGGTCATCTACAACTGTTTCTTAGAACACAGTTCTGGATTCCGACCGCAGACAAGGACTACACAGGAATGCAATCAGCAAGCAGGCAGTTTATTAAGTTGGCTAACCAGAGTCGTGCACACGCACACAGCGATGCCCAAGTCCCCTGTGAGAGGCCAGACCCCGATGTAAGGTACAGGGGTTACTTATATAGGCCCAAATCGGCTGTTACAGCAGATTTGAAGGTCACAATTTATGTATGTGCCTGCTCCAGGCTTCACGTGATATCTGGGTCCGAGGGCTGAGCTTAGACCCGTGACAACCATCTGTTTCATAGCTCAGGGGCCCGTACATTCCTCCTGGAACAAGCAGATAGAAGAGACCTGAGTGGAAACTTTACTATCTTCATTGTCCTTGGCCCGTCCGAGTCTGTCCTGTCCTAACATTACCCCTTTTTTCTTTGTCATAGAGGAATCTTTCTCTATGCCCTGCATCTAGACTGAAGAATGTTCTTCCTTAGGAGATACAGGGGACAGAGGCTGGTATTGCTGTCTTAGAACCAGCAGTTGAACTCCATTAATGTGGTCCCTAACAAATGCTCCTAGCTTGTTTACAATGCACGGTCCAACAGTAAGCAAAAGAAAGAAGAGAATTAGAGGTTTCATGAGTGCGGACATGAGGGTGGCCAGTCAAGGGGACTTGCTGAACCAGGACTCGAACCAACTTTCCTTGGCCTCCCACTCCTTTTTCCGGTGTTGTAGTCCCTCTCTGAGCATGGTCATGGAGTCTCGGACAACTCCGTTGTGGTCCGCATAGAAGCAGCACTCTTCCCCAAGAACCGTGAATAGTCCCCCACTCCGGAGGAAGAGCAGGTCCAGTCCCCTATTGTTCTGGAGGACTACCTTCGAGAGATAGGTCAAAGACTTTTCCAGATCGCTGATTGATTCCTCGATGCGGTATATGTAGACTGAGGGATATCACTTTGAAGTGGTTCCACCCTGGAGGAGTAGAAAGTCCTTTTTGACCTCATAAGAACAGAGTTGTTTGCTGTCTTAAAAAATCGTTAAAGCAACAGAAACCAGAGCAACATTGGCCAATTCACAGACTGGGGGAAAGTCAATTAATTCTGCACTTTGAGCTGAGGTTCCCCCTAGTAAAGTTCTGGCTTCCAATGCTCTGCTCAGACTAGTGACAGCCTGAAGAACATTGAGTTCCTTTATAGGTCAGGCTGTTTACCTACAGCCAGTAAACCAAGTTTTATCTGAAATTCCCAAAGGGGTTACCTTTTAGATCAAGACTAGGATACATATATTCAATCACTTCTGTAGAATTAGAATCTGATTCTTACAAGAAGCAAGTAACAGAAACATGCTTTTCTCTCCACCTTCATTTTAAAACTTACAGATAGCTTAACAAACCTGGCTTGTCCTTTTGCATAAACAGCAAGATTAGAGAACTCTCCATTTTTGGGATGCCCCATTATTTACTGCGAAGTCCTGGGGGTCGGCTATAGACAGGAGACACACCAATAATGGCATTAATCTTATCTGGCACGTCAGAGTTACTCAGGCCTAGCAATAAGATGTCCTGCAGTGAACTGGATGACCTTGAGCCTTCAGGTTGAACTGGTTGTGGCTTTGGGCCTCATTTTAAAGTAGGCCCAGACTGAGTTAGTCATCCTAGATTCCTCCATAACAATGATGATTTCCAGTCTTTCCTTGAGCCGGCTGCCTCTAGGGTTTCCCTGAGGTTTGTAGGGTACTTGAAACAGTACCTCTTTTAAGTCCCTGCTCCTGTCATTTAGACAGATCCCCTGACTGTTTCCCTGGAAAGGGCTTTGGAGTCCCTTGGCTTGTTTTTCCTGTCTGCATGAGCGGTAGACCCTACTACAGAGAGGAAAGACTTCAATCTGGATTTATGCAAACCAAAATAGTGCCATGAAGCATTAAAAACATACGAAAGGTACAAAAGAAAAGAATAGCAAGCACTTCACCTTACTCACAGTGAGGTGCAACACACCCATTTGCTGTGGGTCCTAGTCAAAGGAAGCTTAAATCTGTCGAGATAAAGCATACAGTTTAACATCATGTTTAATTCATTCAATCCCATGTTGAAAAACCTTCGATTTCCTGCACCTTTTGAAAAATTCAATTTCCCATATTTCCTAATTGCAAGTAATAATCTATGAAAAAGGATGGTTCCTTGGCAAAGCTTTTCTCCAGGTCTATCACTTTGGCCTTTCCCAAGGGGACTCGAACCCCTCTGACCTCTCCCGAGGGGACTCTAACCCCTCATAATTTGGCCTTGACTCAGAGACTCACTGGATTTGGACAATCTCCACTAATGGCTTTTGCTTCCACCGCAGGCGTTCCTGTGCGGGCCTGGCGTTGGGCAGACCCACAACTCTGTGCCCGAGCTGAACCTAGTGCTGTGGTCTTAAAAACTCTGCTCCTTAAATAACATTTCTGCCTTTCTTAGCTTGCTGCCTCTTCCCTGCTTTTTTCTGGCTTGCTGCTTTTTTTTCAGGCCTCTTACCTGCCTTTCCCCCCCTTTTTTTTTCTTTCTGTCTTACATCTGGACTGCCTTCATTAGCATTTCAATTGACCTCTAGCTGATCTTCTGGTTAGGCTGAGACTAGGTGGGGAATAGGATTTTCTACCTAGAAATTGATCTGCCTTAGTTTCCCAGAGTCTTCTCATGAGTGGGCTTTCTTCCCATCCCTCCCATAGTGGACGGTGATGCAAAACAGACAAAGGAGGGGTGCTTCTTTGCAGAGACCATTCAGATGCTTGCCTGGCCAGTGGAGAAATTGGCCTTAGTGGTTCAGCATTGTGACTTGCGACCAGCAGCTATGCCAGTGATACCCTTGACCATACATTCCCCGTGGAATTGCAGGCAGCCCACTTGAGCTCCGTGACTTTAGAGGGACTTTAAGAGTGCCAGGTCGTGGAGCTACAAAATCACACCCAATAGAAGGACCTATCATGGTGCTCATGCCCGTACACATTCACACAGAGGTTATCACATTCCTCCCCCAAGCCCCCTAGAGATTTCCAAGGGACCATAACTTCACAGCAGATTTTCCACAGATTACCTCCTTCCTCACACGGCAGAGCCTGGCAAGCTACCCGTCATGTTTTCGATATGCCAAAAACAGTAACAACAAAGTCTCCAATGGAGACATTACTGGACCCGCTCGAGCAAACCTCCTTCCTCATGGATATCTTCCCTGCATCATTCCCTTCATGGTCATCATGTGAATTCGCAAAAGAGGCCACTTGACTGAGGAGTAGGTATCCAACTTACCCTTCTTCACCACCAGGTCCATGTTCTGGGCCTTCCTTTGAACCTCTGTGAAGTGACCTAGAAGCAAAGACTTTGGGGTTGACTGGTTCTGCCCCATAGCTCAGAACAATTTGGCAACAATGACAACAACAATCCCCACCAATTCCAATATCACAAAGTTTAAAATAACCACACACACACACACACGCACACACACACACCAATCAGCCACACTCGCTTGGACCAGTCCTCTCTTCACTCACACTGATCTCACACTCACCACTCTCACTCTCACACAGAGGAGTGCGAAGTTGTCCAAATGGGGTCCACGTGGTTTTCAGGAAGAGAGAATTGAGTGGTATGTTGTCTTCGGGCGCCAGACTTTTCTTAAAAATTTTTTTGGGGACTCTAATCCCTTTTCCCCAGAGGATTCTAACCTCTGGAGGACTCAAGGGCCCTGGAGGACTCTAACCTCCACCTGCAGGTTTCCGGGGGACTCTAACCTCCCTGGGAGGACTCTAACCTCCACCTGAATGTTTCCTAGGGGACTCTAACCACCTGGGAAGACTCTAACCTCCACCTGCAGGGTTCTTGGGGGAATCTAACACCCTGGGGGACTCTAACCCCCTAACCTCCCTCCCCTTCGGGTACAGGTCTTTTCTGCCTGTTCCTCAGGCCTGTTGCCATGGACGGAGATCTCGCTGAGGCCTCCAAATGTTAGGGCACGGTTCTGGATCTCTGACCACAGACAAGTACCACACAGGAATGCAATCAGCAAGCAGGCAGTTCATTAAGTTGGCTAGCCAGGGTTGTGCACACGTACAGAGCGACGCGTAGGTCCCGTGTGAAAGGCCAGACCCCGACCCAAGGTACAGGGGTTACTTATATAGGCCCAAGTTGGCTGTTACAGCAGATTTGAAGGTCACAATTTACATAAGTGCCCGCTTCCGGCTTCACACAACATCCAGGTCTGAGGACTGAGCCCGGACCTGTGACAACCATCTGTTTCATAGCTCAGGGGCACGTACATTCCTCCTGGAACAAGCAGATAGTAGAGGCCTGAGTGGAAAGTTTACTATCTTCATTGTCCTTGGCCCAGTCTGAGGCTGTCCTGTCCTAACAATCTCCACTCCTGCAAACTTGCCCTGTCTCACCCACACTCATCCCAACACTCACTCCCACTCACCACCACTCACCCTACTCTTACCCACACTCACCCACACTCACTTTCGCTCCCACAACACTAACCCCCACTCTTACACAATAACCCACGCTCACCCACTCTCACCCATGTTCATCCCAACACTCACCCCCACAAACCACCACTCACCCCACACTCACCCACACTCACGCTCCCACCACACTCATGCCCACTCCTACACACTAACCCATACTCTCCCACACTCACATACTCACCCATACTCACCCCGTACTCACACTCATGCACTTACTCAACCTACTCAACCATATTGAATCCAGCTCCACCACACTCACCTCACACTCACATACACTCACATACACTCATCCACAATCTCCCAGCTCCTCCTCACTGGGGCACCAGGCTCTGAGAGCCTGAGACATTTGTTCACTGTGATACAGAGGGGCTCAGGGCCTCTCACACCCTTATTAAGGCTCTATCCCACTCATCTTCAATTAAGGGTCCCTGCGCCCTCTCCTGGGTCTTAGCTACCATCTTTCCTGCCTTCAGAACCACACCTGTGGCATGACCGGAAACAGGCTCTGGGCATTCCACAATAAACCTCTGGGCTCCCCTGAGAGCTGGCTCCTGGACACTTCAAGGCCATGAAGGGGCTCATCTGCTTCCCCCCACTGTCTCCTTCTTGCATGGACGCCCCCACCTGCTTGAGCAGGGCTATCTATGTAGCAGGCTTAAGACTAAAGAATCCATTGTGCTACCGCCCAGATCAGCTGCAACTACTCTCCCAGGAAGGCTCTCAGACAAGAGCACACGGAGTCTTGTGAGCTGCAGCCAGGCCAGGAAGCAGTGGACTCCCCCCTTGACCTGGGTTGCCATCCAGCCCTTGGCTGCCAACCACCTTACTTCCCTAACTGGCCCCAGTCTTCCCTATGCATCACTGCTCTTCTCCACCTCATAACCAAGATTAGAATGAAAAAAGTTCCCTTGTAAGTAAATCCTGAGAGGATCTGCAACGGAGGATGGATGGAAGCATGCATGCATGGCTACATGGATGCATGCATGGATGGATGGATGGATGGATGGAGACATGCATAGATGGATGGATAGAGGCATGCATTCATGCATGGATGAATGCAGAGATGGACGGTTGGTAGATGGTTAGAGGTATGGTCGGATAAATGAATGATGACTATGGATGATGCTTGGGTAGGAGGATGAATAATGTTGGACAGTAGTAAGAAGAATGTGTGTATAGATGGTTGGACAGTAATGGCTTGTTGATGGATGCATGATGAATTGTAAAATAAATTGAAGATGCACAGATAGGAGTTTGGTGAATAGATGATGGATGGATTGATGGTTGGACCACGTCGGGTGAATGGTGGATGATGGTGATTGAGTTGATTTGGGAAGGAAGTTGAAGGATGGATGGATGGATGGATGGATGATGAACATTTAGAATTGATGGATGATAGTAAAAAGTATGATGGGTTTATGGTTGGTTGTGTGGATGGTTGGGACATGATGTATGGAAACACACTTTGGTGCATAGACAGTTCGTTGGAAGGTACATAGGTGGTTGATGGGTGAATAATAGAAGGATGGGGAATACATGAATTCTGGATGGATGGAAGTTTTTAAGGATAAACAGGAGATAGATGGTGCCTGGGTAGATGATATATTGCTGAAGGGTGGGTAGATATAGATATAGAACTCCACGTTTCTCCCATTTACTCCATCCAGGGCAGAAAAACCACCAGCATCACGTTCTTAGGTTCAAATTTGGTACCAAGAACAAGCACAAAATTATTTGCAACACTGATGGCTTGAAGGAACATTATAGACACATTCCCAGCTCCTGATCTCAGTAATACGAGCTCAGCCATAGCCCCTTCCTGTCTCCAAATCCTCCTTCCTGCTCCAGACCTGCCCGATTCCTTCAACTTCTTGCCAATGAATGTCTCCATCACTCTTTCGTGCCAGAACTTTCTCTTCTCTAGTCCTGCAGTCACCCTAACCACCATCCTCACCATGCTTCCTCTGATGGCACCTTCTTAGGGAAGTCTTCCCTGACCTCACACTCAATTTTACTTTGCTTAATTTTGAGAGCCTGCTCTCATCCTTGACTCGTTTTGCCCCTTCATTACCTACCTTCTTCAAAAATAAGACAAAATTTTGTCACCCTCTACCTTGTCCATCAGATAACCCATGTACCATCCCTGTGAGCCTCTTTAGGTAAGTCACTGTGGTCGGTAGGTAGAAACATACCACCTGTGGCCATTACTGGGGTCAGGTTGCAATATGTCGGGAATGTGGACTTGATCTTGCAGATGACCAGTGGGCCTTGCTCATGCATCCCCGGTTTTCACCCACAGTGTCTGTGTTACCACACACAGGAGCCCTGAATTTGCTAAGCACTGAGAGGGCTGGCAGGGGCTGGTGTGTGTGCAGGGGTCAAAGGGCAACATGAATGGTGAGCTGGTTTCCAGAATGTGTTTGCATGGGGCTAATGGGGAGAGTATTGGGTACTCCTCCCCCTACCGAGGAATCTCCTCATCATACTGTTGAACAGACCAAACAATTCCCAGGGGGCTGCAGTCGCTCCCAGGATGTGGGACAAGTGGAGATTTGGGGCAGGGGCTCACCTAGAGGATGGGAAACTCTGGGCTTCCCCCGACCTGCCCCTGATTTTCACCCAGCTGCCTTCCTGCCTTCTGTCCTTTGTAAGACCCCAGGGCTGGAGGAGGACTGGATCCTGAGTCTCTTGAGCTTCTCTGGCACAAATGGGGAAGGAGAGGGTCATGGAGCCCCAGTTCCTAAACACTCCATCAGAGGTACAATAATAGCGGGATCACACCAGCATCCGGGCTCTGGGTGATGCTGGGAGACAGTGCCCTTCACCTGTACGTTCTTGCGCCCTCTGCAGGTGGATGGTTCAGCCCAGAGCTAAATTCAGGGACTACCCAGTGGTGGTGAAAATCCTTAATGGCCTCAGAGGGCTTCCCTGTCCTCACCCACGTGGCAGTTGCTCTCTCGAGGCGCAATTAAGGGACCTTGAGGGGAAACCACTGAACCTCCCTGTCCCCTGTTTTCTGATGCTAATCGTAGCACGGAATCACTTGGTGATGTCAAGGTGGAATGGGTCACAGCACATGAAGATTTCAGCTGCCTGACTGCAGGAGGTTTTGGGATTCAGCCTGTCGTCACGCGTTGGAGGATGGTGACACTAGCTCTGGTCCCAAAGTGGATTGTGGGTGCATGCATGAGGCTCGGGCAGCTCTGCTGCTCTAGAGATGCCCCCCACCCTCCCTTCTGGCCCTTGTTTATGGGGCTTTGTCCAGGAAGGAGGGGACACTCAGGCTGCTGGCTCTTGGTTGGAATGATTCTCTGCAGATTGGGGAGCTGGGGTCGAAGGTAGTAAGTAACCAAACAGTGGTCACCATTTAAGCTGCAGGCTTAGGGCGACCTGTTTGCATATGGCACTGACCAAGGAGCCCTGAGTGGTCCAGGTGGGCACATGTGGACCCTGGGAAAAATGGATCCTAATTGAGGACAAAGAGCCTAGAATGATCAGACACAGTCAGGACCCAGGTGCCCACTACCAGGGCATCTGGGCCACCAGCTTAGAGCCCGGAAGAAGCCTCTGAGCATGGAGGGCTCAGAGCTGAGGGACAGGGCTGTGGTGCAGGGCCAGGGGTACATGGAGGCTGATAAGCCCCCACCCCACCCCACCCCCCAGTGACCTCTGTGTCATGAACCAGCAGGATATTATGAGGAAGATGTTTATTGCCCTCATGCAGTCCTACATACTGGAAATAGCCAGCAGGAAGGTGACCCAGGTGGGCTGGGGTGTGCAGGGTTCTGGTCAGGACCAACTTCTTGCGATAGGCCCCATTGTTCTGGCGGGAGCTCAGAGCTCCTTGGGGTTTTCCACTTTGCCCAGGAAGAGGATGTTCTGTGTGTCCTCAGAGATGACAATCAGCATGAAGGGCCTGTTGAAGTTTATAATCTCCAATGATCCTGGAGGAGGGTTGGAGTTTCCCCGGAAGAGAGTTTCTTCAGTGCCTTTATCCGGCAAAAACTTGAGGACCACCTGGGGGACAGAGATAGGTCACCACTGGGAACGACGTGTAGGAGGCAACCAGTAGGCCAAAGCCCCTAGAAGGCAGCTCTGCTGGCCCTCGGGTGTCCCCAATGATGGTGCCTCCAGAACCCTGGCCTAGCCAGCACAGTCCATAGCACAGATAGAAAAACATTTCAAGGGCCAGGAGTGAGCTCAGGTGTGGACATGGGAGAGGGGACTTGGTGTTCTGTTCTGCCTGGGACAGTGTCCAAGGTCCCCAACACGCACACTGGGAGCAGGAAGTGGCAAATTGGGCACTTTTCCTTCGCTCCTAAATGGAGCCCCTGTGGCTGGAGCAGCTGTGTCACAGCACCTGGAGCAGAGTGGACAGCCCTGGCCTCCTGCTTCCTGCAGGACCCTGGCTACCGGTTGGGCTGTGTCTGCAGTCTCTGCTTGTTCCCTGGCCACCAACTCCCAGGCCAGATCAGCCCAACCACCCTTGAAGGAATGAACTTTAATTCTTTGGGTATTTGGGGCATTTGAGGGGGCCCTCACTAAGGGCCATTTCAGCACAGCCTATGGGGCTCCTTTACCTCTTGAGCTGCTGGGCCCTCCTGGGCCCTGCTGGGCCATGACCAGTACTGAACCCCTACTGTATGGTGGTCCAGCAGAGGCTGGAGGGCCTGGATGACCCCTGGGCAGGGGAAGATGGGTCTTGATTCAGGGCCCTTTCCACAGTGGAGCTGGAACCCCTAATCACACACCAACACTCCCAGAAGTTGGAGGTGCAGGGATCCCGGGGAGACACAACTATGACTGATTCATGTTTTTCTCCGGACACCTGGCTGCTGGCACCACGTCTTCCTCAGAGAGGGCAGTTCTGCAGCTCTGGCTCACCTGGCGTCTTGAGTTTATGGCAGTGGTGAGGACTGAGAAATCTGCCCTCTGGGAGAAGTACTTGACCATGCTCAGCTTAGGCTGGACTTCCTCCAGCTTGTAGGTCCTTGAGATGTAGAACTTGGGCAGGTACATGGTCATTTGCCTAGGAGCAAAAGCAGACTAAGCTGTACAGGATCCAATCAAGTACAGTTTGGAGACTAGGACCTGGGAGTGTTCAATTACCAGCCCTCGTGCTGCTTATTGAACAAGTGAGTGACTGATCCTGTGAGTCAATAAATGAGGCAGCAAAGAATAAAGACGTGAATGATTGAGTAGATGAGTGGTGGAATGAGTTAGTAAGTGAATAAATGAGGCAGTGAATGATCATGTGTGTGAAAAATGAATAAATGAATCATTGAATGAATGAATGAGTTGTTGGATCAGTCAATGAATGAGTGATGTGTATGAATGAATGAATAATTCATCATGAGCTAAGCCAAGCTGTCACAGGCCTGTTTATATCCAGTTTTCTCTGTTCATCGCTTCTGTGTGGTTCCCTGACTGGCACTATGTTGTGTGTATTGGGCTAGGGGGGTTGTTGGAGAGAGGCAAGTTAGTGCTGGCTTAATGGACAATCTGCTCCCCACACCCTGATTATGTTACTTTAAGAGGCAGTTGGTCCTCAGACCCTTTGGCACCCCAAAGTGATAAAGACCCCAGAGCCAAGGAGTCCCAACCCTTGTTGATACCCCCAGTTATCCATTGTTGCTCAAGAGTTTGGGGGTCCATGGAGATGAAATTGGACATGAGGAACATAGAAGTGGGTCCGGCAAAGACGGCGTGCAGTACCTTGGCCTCGTCGAGTTCCTCCAGAAATAGATCATGTCCATGTTCAGTTCAGCCTCCAGCTTGGGCATGGCGCCATTGTTAGGGAGGATGAGGAGCATGCTGACATGGCCATCCATGTATGGGTGCTGCACAATACTGAGAGAGTACTTCTCATCCCAGAAGTAGAGTATGTTCTTCTTCTCAGAGCTTGTCCCGAGTACCTGCACCAACCGAGTTGGGCTCACGTAGAAATTTGAAATGAAGTTGTAATCAGGGTCAAAAGGCATCTTCCACTTGGCTAGAGGCAGAAAGAATGGTGGAGAGGTTGTCCAGGTGGCCCGACCTGCGTCATCTCCCAAGGATCCCTGAGTCCCGAGACACCCTCAGCCAATTCCCAAACCGGATGTCCAGGCTTGCATTGTGAAGGCATTAGGAACGGGGAGACCCTCCCTCCCAAACATAGAAACAGAGCTAAGGTAGCGAAGAGGTGGCTAATGGTGCTGAATTAGAACCAATGGGACTCGGGGAGTACAGGGAGATGGGGGTCATGGAAAGGGGGAATTGTTGCTGGGAGCAGTTACAGCCAGGGATAATGGGAGCCTGTGAACTCTAGAATGAATAATGGGCTGTCACCCCATCATAGATTAGGGACACAGGGATAACCCTCAGGAAACTAAAGTCTCCTGTCCCTCTAAATGATTCGAGGAGGGGCTGGTGTAGGAGTAGGTAGGAGATGAACTCACCTGACCCGGCAGATGGCAAATCACAAATGGGCGAGGGGTAGAAACATGAGTGGGAAGAGGCAGAGCTCAGGGACATAGGACAGGGCACAGGGGGTCTGTACAGGCATCCATGCAGGGATCTGAGCCTGGAGAAGCTGACTACTGAGTAGAGGGAACTGACTTCTGCCCTGGGCCTTGTGAGGTATCACCCAGCCTTGCCAGGGAGTCTGGTCCCAGATATCCCTATGCACAGGGTCTGGGTTGGGGACCATATGTGGGTTCTGCACCCAGGACCCAAAACTGATATTTCTGGACCCCAGGCCAGCACAGCTTCCCCTAACACAGATCCTGGAGCTGACTGAGGCCCGCAGGCCACAGCCTCCAGGCCCATCCATCAGTTCCTGCCCCTCAGCTGCCCAGTCTCCACTTAGGAACCCTGCTCTCTGTCCTCTTCTGTCCCTTTCTCTGCATGACCACTCTGCTGTCCTCTCTCAGATTCTGCCCTGCCTCCTGGGCCCTGTCAGCTCTGTGTGCTCTCAGACCCACTCCCATCCCTCACCACTAGGTGAGGACCCTACAGCTCCTTCAGGGCCTACGCTGGACTCCTTCTCGGTCCCTGGTCTTCAGGTGGGTGCTTGAGCCTTGGCACGGGCTCCTGGGGTCACAGCAGGCTGCGCAGGACAGAAGCAGCCCAAAGGCTCAGAGCTCTCACCCGATTCCCCCCTACACGCACAGCCTCACCTTTGAAGAGGACAGAGTTCACCAAGACCATCTTTTTCTTTGCATTCAGGCTATAGAACACCTTCTTGATCTCCCTTTGGATTTTCTGCTCCACATAATCATTGATGAGCTTCTCGGCAACAGCGGGATTCCGGAAGTCTGTGGAGACAGCACTGGTAGAGTACAACCTCCGGAACCTCTGGATGTAGCCCTTCTTCAGGAGCAGTTGCTGGTCTAGGAACAAGTTCGTGTTCACATGGAGCTGCAGGGGTGTCCCAGTCCGGCTCAGATTTCTCAGTATCCGCTGGAAGCCTTGGGGGATCTTGTCAGTGTTCTTGGTCAGCTTGAATTTGAGGCCCTGTAGGATCTCATTGTTGGTGTGGCAGCCAGTCCCCAGTGCCTGCAAGGCCAAGGCAATGGAGACGCTGATTGGGGAGAAGATGATGTTAGACCCAGGACTCTGGGCAGCCAAGCGCTTGTAGAGGGTGAAGGCAAAGTCTGTCTTGTTGCGGGCTAGACTGAGGCGGTCCGGAGGGGCCCCCTGGCATCTTGGCTCTTCAGAGTCTGAAAGGCTGCAGAAGGTGTGGAGACAGAGTGCAGCCCCCAGGATCAGAGCCAGCCGGACAGACATGCCTCCTCCCTCAGTCTGGAAGGCAAAGGATCTCTCAGGGTTTCCTGATGGTTGCAGGCGTAGGGTGGTTGCCAAAGTGGCCCAAAGCAGCTGCTCCTGAGGGTGCAGCAGGCAGAGGGTGTCATCACAGCGACCTGCAGTGCACCGAGGCTCTTGCACTGAGGGTCTGACACAGGCATCGAGAGGGGCCCACCTCAGCTACTTGTGCAGGATCCCTCCTCCCTCTTCAGAGAGTTTTCCTGCTTGGTTGGGCCACTCCCAAAACTTTTCGTCTCTGCAAGTCCCAGAATACTGCCCATCCCTGGACCCTCCCACATGCCCTAAACCCCAGGACCTCCATACTCTGTGTGCCTTTCTCTGTCCCTCCTGCATGCCCACTGCCCAAACCCTCTGCACTTACTGTCTCTGAGCAGAGCAGAGATAAAGGACCGTCAGGCAGTGCAAGTCGGAGAATGCTGAAGAGGCTCCCACAGGGCTTATATATCCCAGCAGGACCCGCCTCCGCCCTGTTGCCCTTTCCTGTCCCTACCTGCCCTGTCATGCCCTGCCCTTTCCCTTCCTGTCCTGCCCTTCCTGTCCTGTCCTGTCCTGTCCTGTCCTATCCTCCGCTTCCCAGTCCCAAGCCAGGGTGCAGCAATGCCTCTGAGCTCAGCTGGAAAACCTCTACCTTCTCCTCGCTTATGCCCCATCCCACCCTGACCTCCTACAGTGACTCACAGCCCAGGAGACCAGCACCACGGGCCACAGGGAGGGACAACCTCCGGCACTCCCTTTCAGGATGATTCCATGGATACCAAAGCAAGTCAGTGCTGGGTTGGGTCATTTCCCTACACCTATGTCTCTGTCCCACCATCCACATCCTTTCTCAAATCCATCCTTCTCCAAGGGTCCCCCATACTCCATTAGCCCAGTGTGCTCGAATGCCAAATGCCCACAGATCCACAGGGTCATGGTAGGTTGTTGGGAGGGATTTCCGTATCAGGGAAAGTCTCGCTCTTGTCATGAAACAAAATCCAGAGATCTTTTAAGGGGTGTTCTTAGCTGGGGGCAGGGCAATTCCTGCAACTACTACCACATCACAAAGATGCTGTCAACTCCATTAACTGTTCTAGATATTGTGAAGCAACATCTCCAGTCTCTAAAACTCTGACATTCCAGTCGGAGCACACCAGATTGCATGGGATGCAACACAGTAGCCATTCGGCCTTGATTCACAAAGACATTAACATAGAAGGCCTAACTGCCACAACAGATTAGTAAATGCTAAGGACTCTACAACCCCGTGGTGAGATCAAACAATTTTCACAAATTCTCTGTACTTAAGGACTTTTTGATCATCCCATTCGCCACTTAGTGGTAACATGCAATATAAAATAAATTATTGTGGGTTTCTTACAGGGCAGGCTTGAGAGGTGGTTGGGAATATGAGGACAATGGTGGAGGGAAGGTGACAGTGGAGGGATTGGGGTTGGAATATTGAATACCTAGAACAAATATCATGCTCAACTTTATAAACCATGGTGTTTAAAAAAGAAGTGGGAAAATGCATAAATAAATGAAACAGTAGCCAGAAACCAGTCTCTCTCAGGAAGGAGCACATTATTACTGACCAGGCTTGGGACTATTATGACATAAAGTATATTTTCATGATCCTTACATGGAACTGAGACAAACGGGGCCAAGGAGCTCTAAACAGCAGGATTCATCATCTAGAATGACACACACACCCTCACACAAACAAGAGCACAGGCCAGCACCAGCTGGCCTGTGTGGCCCATGTTACTATCCTGGGTCTGCTCCTGTAGGGTCACCAGATGCTACCCAAGGGAAGCTGGGAAACAGGGTCTTGGACACTGCCAGGCAACTCTCGGGAATTTTTAGTTGTCCCCGAGTAGTAGGATCTTTCTAGGGTAAGTGAAAAGATGCATCAAGGACACAGCGTGACAACTCGACTAAACCATTCCTCTCAGATATTCCCAGAAGTTGCTTCTGTCTTTTCATCAGGCTCCAAGGTGGTGCCATGATCGGGGCTTAGACTGGAGGTGCCATCCCTCGCTGAGTCGTCACAGGCGCAGAGAATGAGGACCAGGTACGGAGAGGCAGGGCCTCCTGCTTCCCTATCCCTGGTCTCCCCCAAGTTCCGGGGCCACTCCAGTCCCACCCATCCCCACTGCTCAACCACCAGCCACAAGTGCTCAGCCCCAGCCTCTCCACAGCGCCCCCTCCAGCCAGCCACTCTGGTGACAGCTCATGCTTGGTGAAGGGCTCCTGAACAGCCCCCACCATCCGCCTGCCCTGGGCCTTTCCCAGTCCCTCTTCCTCCAGACCTTGACTTGCCCAGTTCCTCCCACAGGTGCGCAAGGTTTAACTCTGGTTCTCTTCCTTCCCTGAACACTCATGGAGGCTCTGTCCCGTGATGGAACCTGATGGATCGCCAGGACACACCTGTCCCAGCATTGAGCTCTGCTTCAGTCGTGATCTCATAGGACAGTGCTAACAAGACTAGGAGGCATCAGGTTTAAAGTAACCCTGGTCTTCTCCTCACAACTACATTTTAGCAAGCCTTTGCAGAAGGAAATAAAGAAGCTATAACACAATCTCTAGGATGAGGGAGATAACCCTTGTAAAATATCATACAAGGTCCATTATGGATAGGAGGTGGGATGAGAAATTAAAAGACTGTCCAAAAATATCCCTGAAGCATATCAGACGCCTTTCTCTCATTCACTGATGTCCCATCATTTGCTGACTTACTTTCCCAGCCCACTCTATGTAATCAACTAAGCCCAGCCTGAAAGAAAGAGAGTTCAGTAGAGACAAGAAGGCTGCCAACATGATGCCCAACATAGCCATGCCACCAGACTCTGCACCAGGCTGTTTCACTCCAGGTGCCCCAAAGGGGGGAAGGTGAGAGCCCTCCCCACTCCAATGGATCCAGAACCGGCAGCCCAAAACCTCCAGAACCCAATTGCCACCACACTTAAGGCCGCTCCCCACACACTCAGGCCAAGCCTCTCGTATGAGTGGATGCATTCCTGGACCATGCAGCTGCCTTTGTGACCATGTGACACAACATAAGACAATCCCTACCCATTCTCCATAAGTACCACACCACACTTGATGGAGCTCAAATAGTAGACAACAAATCATAGAGGGAAATATATATCTATATATACATGTATATATACATAGTTTCAGATATACATACGAAAGTTCACATCACTCAACCTTTAATAACATGATAGCGATATTCTAAAGAATGTCTTAATGGCCCTTGTCAAAATAGAGCAATCTTCATACTGTCTACTCTATGGATACTTTTTTGTAGCATTTTCAGCGATTTTCCATAACAAACAATACAAAATATATTATTTCGGTTGTGCTTTGGGACAGGGATTGGGGCTTGGGATGGAAACATCCCAGATTTGGTGGTGGGAAGGTGTAATGGTGGTGGGATTGGTGTTTGAATATTAACTGTAATCAAATATTGTGTACCACCTTATAAAATAAAATATATTTTTAAAAAAAATTTTAAAAAAAGTAACCCTGGTCACTTGGAGGTGGTGGGATGCTGGGTTATCTCTTGTTCCTTTGTATTTATTGTTTGCTTTATGATACTGGGCTGAAGCAATAGCACAGCGAGTAGGGCATTTGCCTTGCAAGCTGCCGACCGGACAAACCCAGGTTCGATTCCTCTGCCCCTCTTGGAGAGCCTGGCATGCTACCGAGAGTATCTTGCCCACACAGCAAAGCCTGGCAAGCTACCCGTGACGTATTTGATACGCCAAATACAGTAACAACAAGTCTCACAATGGAGATGTTACTGGTGCCCGCTCGAGCAAATCGATGAACAATGGGAAGACAGTACTGCAGTTTATGATACTATTAATAATAGTACCTAAAGAGCACTGTAGTCCTCACTAGTGTCCCTGTTTCTTCCCTCCCTTCACCCATTTCTCTCTCACTCCACCGACTCCTTTTATGGGTCACTGGAACTTAAACTTACATAGGTAACAACAAAGTTTCAAACTCTTTTGTAATTTTTTTTATGTATTTTAAAATGTTCAAAAATAAAATGTATTCAAATAAATGTCTTTTTCTGAATTTTAAAATGTCTTCATATAAGACTTTTTTGTTTTATTTGATAGCAAGAAGTACATTATTGGCACTCTTTCAATGATTCGAATTATTGAGTATTGGTATAACAATCAGGGATTTGCAAATTTCTTCTGCACAAGACAGAGTAAATATTTGAGGTTTTCACTTGTCATCCTTTCTCTAATGTCTGCCTGGCCCTGCTCTGCTTGGAGCCAAAGAAATCAAACACAGGTTGTGGGCAAGTGTGCGTACCAACAAAACTTTGTTTATGAGAACAGGTGTTCTCTTGGCTTTGCGTTGGAATAGATGGCCATTACTGCTCCCTTTGCTCTTGTGCTTTTGGGACGTGAAAATATCGTTCCACCGTCAAAACTAAATATCATTCTGACTTCAGGCAAACAATCTGCCTTGTTTACGTGGTTGGAGAGTGGCACATCTTAGAGAAAAATCCAAGGATCCACATGGTGATCTGAGACCGAGACTGAACTTATCACAAACATCACTGAACACACATCACATACACATTCAGAGACCAGTCAGAAAATATGTCTAAGGGGCAAAAAATGATGGACATCACATACAACAGCCCACCCCACTGATGCCCTGTTTCCCAGATCCCTAGCGCCAGCTCCCCTGGGCCAGGATCAGGTTCCTGGCGGTGGTGAGACCAGAGAGATCTGTCTGCTGGGATAAGACCTCGCTGATGCCCAGCTAGGGCAGGAATAGCTCTAGGTCATAACCCCAGAAATGAAAGGTTTGGGCAGGCCCAGGCTTATCTTTGTGAGAATGGAGGGAAACCGTGGGTGGTGGAGGATCCACTCAGGTACGAATTGGAGCCTGGGACCTTATAGCTGTCAGTTACCAACCCCCATGCTGTTGAGTGAATGAGTGAGTCATCCTGGGAGTGAATAAATGAGTCCATAAGGAATAAAGCAGCGAATGGGTAAATGAATGACTGAATAAGTTAAAAAGTGAGTGTGTCAGTGAATGATCATGTTAGTAAATAAAGCAATATAAGAATACACACACTTTACACTCACCCCACACTCACCCTCACACTCACTTCCATACTTATCCTACACTCACCACTCAGCTCAAACTCATTGCACATTTACCCCACATTCACGCCACACTCGTCCCACACTCATCCACACTCAACCACACTCACCTAAACTCACACATCCTCATCCACATTCACCCCACACTCACCCACACTCATCTCACACTTAAATCAAACTCACCTACACTCACTCCAACACCCACAATCACCCATACAAACCCACACTCACCCAAAACTCACCCCACACTAACCCATACACTCACCCCACGCTTACCCACACTCTCCTCACAATTAGTCACACTCTCCCCACACTTACCCACACTCTCCCCATGCTCACGCACATTTACCCCACACTCACCCCTCACTCACCCCACACTCACCCTACACTCACCCTACATTCTCTCAACAATCATTTCACACTGACCCGAATACTCACTTCCACATTCACCCTCACAGTCACCCCATACTCAGCCGATACTAACCTCACACTCACCCCACACTCACCCCTAATTCACCCATACTCACCCCTCATTCACCCATACTCACCCCACACTCACTCCACATTAACCCCTACACTTATTCCACACTAACCCTACACTCACCCCCACATTCACCCACACTCACCCCACACTCACCCACACGCTCACCCCCACACACTCCCACATACACCCACACTCTCCTGGGTCTTTCTAACTGGGGCATCAGGCTCTGAGAGGTGGAGACACTTCTTCACTGTGGCACAGATGGGATCAGAGCCTCTTACACCCTCACCCAGGCTGTTTCCCTCACCTGCAACCCAAGGTTCCTGCGCCCTCTTCTGGGTCTCAGCCACCATCTCTCCTGACTCCAGCACCATCCCCGTGGCATGACTGGAAACAGGTTCTGGGCATCCTACACTGACCCTATGGGCTCTCCTGGGAGCTGCCTCCCGGACACTTTAAAGCCATACAGGGGCTCATCTGTGTCCCCTCACTGGCTCCTTCCTGCATGGACACTCCTCTCTCTTGTGTAGGGCCATCCATGTAGTGAGTTTGAGACTAAAGAATTCACTGTGCTTCCACTTCTGGGAATATATCTGGAGATGCAAAAACGTACAGTAGAAATGACATCTGCACTTGTATGTTTATTGCAGCACTGTTCACAATGGCCAGAATCTGGGAAAAAAAACCCCGAGTGCCCGACAATAGATGACTGGTTAAAGAAAAGCTGGTAAATCTACACAATGGAATACTATGCAGCTGTTAGAAAAGATGAAATCATGAAATTTGCATATAAGTGGATGGACATAAAGAGTATCGTGCTAAGTGAAATGAGTCAAAAGAGAGGGACAGACATAGAATGACCGCACTCATTTGTGGAATATAAAATAACATAATAGGAGACTAACACCTAGGTATAGAAGAGATAAAGGCCAGGAGGATGGCTCTATGTCTTGGAAGCCAGCCTCACATGCTGGGGGAAAAGGCGCTGGGATAGAGAAGGGACCACTAAGTGAATGATGGTTGGAGGGTTCGCTTGGGATCGTAGATGCATGCTGAAAGTAGGTTATGGGCCAAACACGATGGCTACTTAGTATCTGTATTATAAACCATAACACCCGAGAGAGAGAGAGAGAGAGAGAGAAAGAGAGAGGGAATATACCTGCCACAGGGACAGGGGTGGGGTGGGGTCGGGGTGGTGGGAGGGATACTGGGAACATTGATGGTGGAGAATGGACACTGGTAAAGATATGGGTCCTTGAACATTGTATGACTGAAACATAATCATGAAAGTTTTGTAAATCTGTAAAAAAAATTTTAAAAAGAACTCATTGTGCTACGGCTCAGATCAGCTACAGCTACTCTTCCAGAAAGGCTCTCAGACAACAGCACAGGGACACGGAGTCCTGAAGGCTGGAGTGGATCAGGAAGTTGCATGCTGCTCTATTGGCACTTGGTTGCTGCCCAGCCCTTGGATCTTCTTCCATTCTGGCCTTGGTTTCCCCTGCCCACGAATGCCCACTCCCTCCTGAGATAACAAAGATTGGAAAGAAAAGTGTGCCTCATAAGTGAAACTTGAGACCATCTGCATATCAGGATGTATGGATGGATAGATTGATGGACAGACAGAGGAATGGAAGGACGCACTAAAGAATGAGTAAACAGGTGGGTGGATGATGGATATGTAAGTAGGTGGATACATGGGTGGGTGGATGGATAGACAGACAGATGGATGGGAGTGGGGGTGGATGGGGAGATGAATGGAAGGATTGATCGATGATGATCATGGATGATGGTTGGGTGGGAGATGGATAAGGATGGGCAATAGTAGGATGAGTGTGTATACAGATGATTGGAACAATAGTGGCATATTTATGGATGGATGATTAATTTTTTGATAAATTAAGATGGATAGATAGAGTTGGGTGGATGGGTGATGGATGGATCAATGGCCTGATTACAATGGTTGGATGGTGGATGGATGACGGTTGAGTTGATGTTGGATTGAGATGAATGATGTATGGATGTATCATGGATGGTGGATGTATGTATGATGGAAGAATAGTGGATGGATTTATGGTTGGGTGGGTGGATGGTGGGTAGAGATGTATGAATAAACACTTGGGTGCATAGACAGTTAGATGGGAGGTAGGTGGATGGTTGTTGGGTGGATAATGTATAGCTGGATAGAAAGATACATAAATTCCGGATGGGTAATATCTAATTGGATGGATGAATAGGAGATGGATGGTGGATGAGTGGATGATAGATTGCTGGGTGGTGAGTGGAATATATATAGAACTCCACATTCTTTTCCATCCATACTGTGATGAGCAGAAAAGCTCCAGCATCATGTTCTCAGGTTCAAATCTGGTGCCAATTACATGCATAGAATTCTTGGAGCCACTGATTGCTCAAAGGAACACTGATCTCAGCAATAGGAGATCATCCATAGCCCCTTACCCTCTGCAAATCCTCCTTCCTGCTCCTGACATGCTTGATTCCTTCAACTTCTTGCCAATGTCTACATCAATCTTTGGTGCCAGAACTTTCTCATCTTTAGTCCTGCAGTCACCCTCACCCTTGCTTAATTTTGAAAGCCTGCTCAAGTCACCCTTGCTTAATTTTGAGATCCTGCTCAAGTTCTCTATTATTTCTGCCCCCTTCATTATCTACATACTTAAATTACATAAAATTTTCACCTTTTAAAATCATTCTCTACTATATCTTTACCATGAGCTTCATTATTTACCTACTTCAATAATTAAAAAAGATTATTTTTGTCACCCTCTATCTTGGCCATCAGGTGGTCCATGAACCATCCCTGTGAGCCTCTTCAGGGTGAGTCACTGTGGTCAGCAGGTGGGAACAACTGCCTGTGGCCATTACTGGGGTCAGACTGGGATGTATCAGGAACATGGGTTTGATCTTGCAGATGACCAACCTGCTTTGCTTACAAGTCTTTTGTCTTCATCCACAGTGTCCTTGTAACCACCACACACAGGCGCCCTGACTTTTCTAAGGGCTGGAGGGGGCTGGTGTGTTTATAGGGTCTGGGGACTCTGTCCAGCAAGGAGGGGACACTAGGGCACCTGGAACCTTGCTGGAACGATTCTCTGAGGACTGGGGTGCTGTGGCTGGAAGCGGGGTCCTAGTAGGGGTCGCCAGCTCAGCTGCAGCCTGACGGATAGTTGTTTGCACATGGCACTGACTCAGAAGCCCTGAGCGTTTCAGGTGGGCACATCATGACCCCTGCAATGTGGACCCTAATTTAGAACCTAGGAAGGTTTGATGTAGCTTGGTGTTAGGGTGCCCGGTGTGTGGGTATGTTTACCATGAGCTTATAGCTCAGAAGAAGAAGTCTCTGAGCGTAGGGCCCAGAGCTGAGGTCCAGACTGGAGGCAGGCAGCTAAAGGGGCCCCTCAGGTACATCTGGGTCATGCTCCATTTGGGTGTTGTGAGGAAGACGTTTATTGTTGTTACACAGTCCCCCATACTGGACACAGCCGCCAGAAAGGTGATCTAGTGGGATGGGACATGTCTGCACCTGGGCACTGCTCTGATCAGGCCCAACAACAGCGGGAACTCAGGAATGCCGCGGGTTGACCACTTTGCCCAGGAAGAGGATGCCCTGTGTGTCCTCGGAGATGACGGCCACCAGGAAGGGCCTGTTGAATCTCACAGCCTTTGGTTTTATAGAAAAAGGAATAACGCGCGCTGCAGTGGTAGTCGCTGATTCGGTACCTTCCTCGGTCACATCCAGCACAACCTTGTGGACCATCTAGGGGACACAGAGCTGTCACCACTGGGACAGGGCAAGCAGGAGGCAGTCATCCTGCCTGAGCCACTCAGGGGGCAGCTGTCCTCAGGGCTCCTTTACCCCTTGCGCTGCTCCCTGCTGGACCCAGCCCAGAACCAAGCCCCCACTTTATGGTGGGCAAGCAGAGACTGGAGGGCTCAGATGGCCCTTCATCAGGAGAAGGTGGTTCCCCAACTCAGGGCATTTTCTACATCAGGGCTGGGAAGCCCAATAACCCAACAATACATCTGGGCGTCTGGGAGCACAGGGATATCAGAGGGGCACTGTAGCACCGTCCTCCCGTTGTTCATCGATTCGCTCGAGCGGGTCCAGTAACATCTCTATTGTGAGACTTTTGTTACTGTGTTTGGCATATTGAATACGTCACGGGTAACTTGCCAGGCTTTGTCATGCGGGCGAGATACTCAGAGGGGAGACAAAGCATTACAGATTCAGGGCATCCCAGCGGACACCCGGCTACCTGGATCTCATCTTCCCCAGAGGGAATAGGTGCAGCTCACCCTGGAAAGGCTCAGGTTCCTGCCGGCGGTGGTGATTCCTGAGAGATCTGAATTCTGGGAGAAGACTTTGACAATGCCCATGTTAGGCAGGACTTGATCCAGGTCGTAGTCCCAGGAGATGGAGAACTTGGGCAAGAACATGGATATTTTCCTAGGAGCAGAAGCAAACTGAGCTGTGCAGGATCCGCTCAAGTACAGATTGGAGACTAGGACATGGCAGTGCTCAGTTACCATGCCTCATGCTGCTGAGTGAACAAGTGAGTGATGATCTGTTGAGTGAATCAATGAGTCGATAATGAATAAAGAGGTGAATGAGTGAGTGAATGAGTAAATAATAAAGAAGTGAATGAATAAATAAATGAGTGAATAAATGACCCATAGAGTGAGTCAGTGAATGATCATGTGAGTAAAGAAATGAATAAATGAATCATTGAATGAATTAATGAGTTGATGGATGAGTCAATGAATGAGTGATCAGTGGATGAATGAAATAATAATTCATCTTGAGCCAGGGCAAAGGTGTTTCAGGCCTGTCTATATTCAATTGTCTCTGTTCATCGCCTCTGTGTGGTCCCTTGCCTGGCACTGCGCTGTGGGTATGGGGCTATGAAGGTTGTTGGAGAAAGGCAGGTTAGTGCTGACTTGATGGCCAATCCTCTCCCCACACCCCGATCATGTTCCTCTCAGAGGAAGCTGGTCCTTGGACCCCTTAGTACCCCAGTGATAAAGATCCCAGAGTCAGGAGCCCCAACCCTAGTTGATCCCCCCAGGGACCTGTTGCTGGTCTGTAGTTGGGGGAGGGGCTCCCAACCTGTTGGTGGGGCACGATGTGATGAGGATGGCAAAGGAGGAATGGCAGAGAAGAAATGTGGTACCTCATCTTCATCGCCTCCCTCCAGTAATGGAATTTGTTCAGTTTCAGCGAACTTTCCAGCATGGACATTTGGCCCAGGTTAGGGAGGATGAAGAGGATGCTGGCACTGTTGTTCAAGTATGGGAGCTGTACCACCGTAGTACGGAGCATCCTGTCTCGGAAGTAGGGCACCTGCAGGTACTCAGATCTCATCATGGGTATTGTCACCTTCCTTCTCAAGGTCATGTAGAAATCTGACCTGACGGTGTTTTCAGAGTTAAAGGGCATCTCCCACTTGCCTAGAGGAAGAGAGAATGATAGAGAAACTGATCCAGTGTGGCCCATCCAGCGTGCTCTTCCAGAATCCTTCTGTGCCAAGACACCCTCAGCCCACCTCAGACCTATGGGGTGTCCAGGCTTGGTTTGTGAAAACACCATAAGAATGAGGAGACCTCACAAGTGTAGAATGGGAGGCAAGGTAGCCAAAAACTGGCTGATGTGCTGAATGAGAACTAATGGGAACTGAGGAATACAAGGTGATGGGGATCATAAAAAAAAGGGAGAGGTCAGGATTGTTGGGAGCAGTTACAACCAGGGAGAAATGGGACCGATGAACTCTAGAATGAAAAAGGGTGTGTTATCCCCATCATGAAATGGGGCAGAGGGACAATCCTCAAGAACCCCAAGTCTCCTGTCCCCCAAAATGAGTCGTGGAGGGGAGGGGCTGGTGTGGGAGGAGGAGGGGGGTGAGAACTCCTGATGGGGCAGGTGATGAATCACACATGGGGGAACAAGGGATGGGTAAAGCGGGGCTTAGGGACACAGGACAGGGCAAGGAGAACTGTCCGGGCTCAACCGGGCAGGCTGAGATCTGGATTGCAGCTCCCGCTCCTGCCCGTATCTGCCTAGCCCGTGCCCAGCACCTCTGTCCTCTGCCCTCCTCGGTCTCCTCCTCTGCACAGCCAGCCTGCTGTCCTCTCTTTTTTTTTCCCTTTTTGGGTCACACCCAACAATGCTCAGGATTTAGTCCTGGCTTTGCACTCAGGAATTACTCCTGGCAGTTCTCAGAGGACCATATGGGATGCCGGGGATTGAACCCAGGTTGGCCGCGTGCAAGGCGAATGTCCTACCCGCTGTGCTATTGCTCCGGCCCCTGCAGTTCTCTCTTGACCCTGCCCTGCCTCCTGGGTCCCGTCAGCTCTGGGTGGTCCCAGACCCACCCCCAGTCCCTACCCCCAGGCGGGGGACCCTACAGCTCCTTCCAGGCCCACACTGGACTCATGCTGAGCCTCTGGTCTCCAGGTGGGTGGCTGAGCCTCGGCACGGACTCCTGGGGTCATAGGAGGCTGCGCAGAGCAGAATCAGCCTGAAAGCTCAGAGCTCATGCTCTTTTCCCTCCCACTCCCACGGCCCCACCTTTGAAGAAGATAGAGTTCACCAAGACCATCTTGGTCAATTCGTCCAAGTCGTGGACCATGTCCAGGATTTTCCCATGGGTTGTCTGCTCCACATAATCATTGATTAATTTCTTGGCAGAGAGGAGATCACTGAAGTCTGTGGAGATGGCTTCAGCGGAATACAATGCCCAGGCCCCTAGCAGGAATTTTTTCTTCATTTCTAGATGCTCATCCAAGAACAGAGCAGTGGTTATATTCACTTGCAGGGGCATCTTGGAATTCCTCAGGACGTGAAGCAGCATCTGGAAGCCCTGGTGGATGTCGGACTCTGGGGTCTCAGCAATGTTGTACTGGAGGCACTCTAGGATCTCGGCCTTGGTGAGGTCTTCTGCCCCCAGTGCCAGGAAGCCCAAGGCTATGGAGATGCTGATTGGGGAGAAGATGATGTTGGACCCAGGAATCTGGGAATTGAAGGAGCTGTAGAGTCTGAAGGCTAATTCATTGGTTTTCTGGATTATATCTAAGATGTCCTGAGGGATCTTCTGGTGCTTGTTTTCCCTCCCTCTCTTCACCCTTAGAGATTTGGTGTCTGAAATGCTGCAGAAGACGTGGAGACAGAGTGCAGCCCCCAGGAGCAGAGCCAGCCGAACAGACATGCCTCCTCCCTCAGTCTGCAAGGCAAAGCATCTCTTAGGGTTTCCTGATGGTAGCAGGCACAGGGCACAGGGGAGCTGGGGTTCCCAAGCTCTTGAGTTCCCAGCATCTATCTGCTCCCATATTCGAGTCCTGAGATGACCCATATATGGACTGGGGGTGCCCTTTCGAGGGGTGCCTGATGCCCAGCCCCACGTCAACAGTGCTGGTTTCCCAACTGGCCCAAAGCAGCCGCTCCCTGAAGGTGCAGCAGGCAGAGGGAGTCATCACAGCGACCTGCAGGGCACCGAGGCTCCTGCCCTGAGGGTCTGACCCGGGCCCGGGGTGGGGGTCACTTCAGCTGCTTGTGCAGGGCCCCTCCTCTCTCTTTAGAGTTTCCTGCTTAGCCAGACCACCTCCCAAAGCTTTGAATCTCTGTAAATTCCAGAACACTGGCACATCCCTGGATCCTCCCATATGTCCTCAAGTCCAGCACCTCCATCCTCTGCCCTTCTCTGTCCCTTCCACATGCCCACTGCCCAAACCCATCCAGTCCCTGCACTTACTGTCCCCGAGCAGAGCAAAGACAAGGACCGTCAGGCTGTGCAGGTCGAAGACTGCTGAAGAGGCTCCTGCAGTTCTTATTTATCAAAGCAGGACCTGCCTCCGCCCTTCTGCCCTGTCCTGCCCCTACCTGCCCTGCCCTTTCCTGCCCTGCGTTGCTCTGTCCTGTCCTGTCCTCTTCCTCACAGCTCCCAACTAGGCTGCAGCAAAGCCTCTGAGATCAGCTGGGAAACCTCCACCCACTCCTCACCTATGCCCCATCCCCACTCTGACCTCCTTGTCCCATAGTGACCACACAGCCCAGGAGACCAGCACCCCAGGCCACAGGGAGGGACACCCTCCCGCATCCCCTTCCAGGGTTATTTGTGGATTCCTGCAGCCGGTCTGAGTTCTGGGCTGGGTCATTTCCCCACAGAAATATCTGTGTCCCATCATCTAGGTCTTTTCTCAAATCCATCCTTCTCCAAGGGTCCCCAGTACTCCATCAGCCCAGCATGCTCGAATGCCAAATGCTCACAGATCCATGGGACCAGGGAAGGTCTGTGGGGAGAGGCCACCATTTCAGTACTAGAAACTAGAGCCAGAGAACTCCAGGGCATCTTGGTTGGGGTAATGGTCATCTCTTTCCCTCAAAAGTCCTAGCAATCATTCTCCCTTCCCAAATCCGCTGTCATGTCTTGGTTTGACCCCATCAGGAAGGAACTTCCTGGAAGGAACTTTACAAAGAACCTAATCAGCCCAAAGCCTCAGGTTCATAGGTCTTTGTGTCTGAAAACTGCAGGCCTAATGGTAGTTGGAGTGGCTACCTTCCTCAACTTCCTTGTACTTTGCAAGATCGGATGGCCACTCCCATGTCTATCCACTACCACCTCCCTGTAAGCTCATCTACAGGCCTTGTTTCACAAACTCATAAATAAATCCCGAAAGAGATCAACTAGCCTCAAAAATTTCTCATAAATCTATTCCCAGCTGAGACGTTTGGGTTACTCTTAGAGAGGAGCTGGCCAGTGCCTACCCAAATAAAACCCCCTACAGACACTCCCATACCTGGAAGCAGCCAACAGGGGTCTGATCAGACTGCCCAGTTAAATACTCCAAATTTTCTGGAGCAAAATAACCAAAATCTACAAAACTGACATTGTAGTACAAGCAAACCAGATTGGATGGAATGCAACAAAGGAGCCAATCAATCTCGACTAACAAAATCTTTTTTTTTTCCTTGTTCATTTTATTTTTATTTATTTATTTTTTTACAGTTGTAGATTTACAATTTTTTTTTGTGCTTGGGTTTCAATTATACAATGATCAGATACCCATCCCTCCACCAGTGCCCGTTTTTCACCACCATGGATAATATCCCTCCCACCCCCATCCCCCCATCCCCCCCTGCCTCCGTGGCAGGACAATCCCCTGTGTTCTCTCTCTACGTTTGGGTGTTGTGGTCTGCAAAAGAGGCATTGAGTGGCAAACATGTTCAGTCCATAGTCTACTTTCGACATGCATCTCCCCTCCTGGGAGGATCCTCCAAACATCCTTTATTTGGTGCTCCCTTCTCTATCCGAACTGCCCTTTCCTCTAGGATACCCGGCTGGCCTCTAAGTTATGGAGTAATCCTCCTGGTGCTGATCTCAGCTATTCTTGGGTATTAATCTCATACTTTGCTGCTTTATATCCCCCAGATGAATGCAATCTTTCTATGTCTATCCCTCTCTTTCTGACTCATTTCGCTTAGCATGATACTTTCCATATTGTACCACTTGTATGTAAATTTCATGACTTCATCTTTTCTAAGAGCTACATAGTACTCCATTGTGTAGATGTACCAAAGTTTCTTTAACCAGTCATCTGTTCTTGGGCATTCAGGTTTCTTCCAGTTTCTGGCTATTGTAAAGAGTGCTGCAATGAACAAACAAGTGCAGATGTCACTTCAACTATACATTTTTGCTTCTCTGGGATATATTCCCAGGAGTGGTATTGCTGGGTCAAATGGGAGCTCAATTTCTAATTTTTTGAGAATCGTCCATACTGTTGTCCAGAAGGGCTGAACCAGTCGACATTCCCACCAACAGTGAAGGAGTGTCCCTTTCTCGCCACATCCACGCCAGCATTGGTTGCTTTTGTTCTTTTGAATGTGGGCCAGTCTCTGAGGTATGAGATTGTATCTCATTGTGGTTTTGATCTGCATCTCTCTGATGATTAATGATGTAGAGCATTTTCTCATGTGCTTTTTTGCCATTCGGATTTCTTCTTTGAGAAAGTTTCTGTTCATTTCATTGCCCCATTTTTGGATGGGGTTGGATGTTTTCTTCTTGTGGAGTTTAACCAGTATTTTGTATATCCTGGATATCAACCCCTTCGACTAACAAAATCTTTAACTCAGAAGGTTTACCTTGTAACAACAGCTTCGTAAACCCACCAAAAAAGACTTAACATAGTACTCCAAAAGACTTAACATTCCCATTGTAAGATACTACAATTTTCACAAATTTTCATCTATAGAAATAGTTTTTGATAATTCTTTTGGCCATTTATTGATAACAAAAAACAAAAAATAAATTATTGTGAGTCTGATGGGGTTAGTTTAAGAAGTGGCTGTGAAAATAGAGACAATGGTGGAGGAAAAGTGAAGTGGTGGCAGGACTGGGGTTGGAATATTGAATGCCAGTTACAAATAATCATGAACAACTTTACAAACCATGGTGTTTAAATTAAGAGGGGTAATAAACCATGTGTTTCCCTGTGCCATTTTGTCTGTCCTTCCAAGTCCATCTTCCTCCAGACCTTGACTTCCCCAACTCCTACCACAGTTGCGCAAAGTTAGAACTCCGTTTCTGTTCCTTCCCTAAACACTACTGGAGGCTCTGTTCCATGGTGGAACCTGATGGATCACGAGGAAAAACCTGTCCCATCACTGGTCTCTGCCTTAGTTGTGCTCTTGGGACAGTGCTCACAAGACTAGAAGGCATCAGGTTCAAAAGTGAACCCTGGTCACCTGGAGGTGGTAGGATGCTGGGCTATCTCTCTTGTTCCTTTTGAATTTATTTTTTGCTTTATAATACTATTAATAATAGTATCTAAAGGGCACCACAGTCCTCTCAGTGTCTCTGCCCCAGTTTCTCCCTTGCCCCAGGAACTCAGCCCCTTTCTTTCTCACTCCCTATGCCAATACATTTTTATGGGTCACTGGGACTTAAATTTACACAGAGAGGTAGCAACAAAGATTCAACCCCCTTTTTATTTTTTATGTGGTTAAAATGCCCTTCAGCAGATAAAATGTCTTCAAATAAAATGTTTCTTTGTGTATTTTTAAAATATTTGAAATAAGAGTAACTATTGGGACTATTCCAATGATTTGAATAATTGAGTTTTGGCATAACAATCAGTGATTGGCAAGCTTCTTTTGCAAAGGGACAGAGCAAACATTTGAGGCTTTCAGATGTTATCTTGTCCATAACACCTGCCCTGACCTGCTCTCCTTTAGTGAAAGTAACCAAACATAATGAACTGGGCAAACCTGTGTTCCAATAAAACTTTGTTTATAAGAAACAGGTGGTCCCTTTAATGGGCCTTTCTGTTCACTTTGGCCTCATGCTTTGGGACATGCAAATATCATTCCACTCTCAAAACCAAACTGTCACCTGACTTCAAGCAAGTAGTCTGCCCTCGTTACCCTGTTAGTAGTTCAATCTCATAGTGATCACGGGATTGAATTCATAAGGTACATCATTGCACACACATCGCATATACACACACTTAGAAAATATTTCTTAGGGGTAAAATGATGGGATCCTGACACAGCAGTCCACCCTCTAACACACTCATCAGACGTCTTCAAAGGGAGCCTGGTCCCTTCTAATCCGACCTGTGCGCATCCTTTCCCTCCACTCAATGAGCCAGCACGTTACAAGGAGAGAGGACTTTGATTTGGTTTTGGTTTACTCCACATCCAGTGGGGCTGACATCAACTGCAGTCTCAGTGCTCAGGACTGCTTCTGAAGGATTCAGGGGACCTCTGGGTGCCAGGGTTCAAACCTGGGTCAGGGACATGCCAGTCTAGGCCCCTACACACTGTTATGTCTAAGCCCCTATAATTTGGTCTGTTTAATAGTTTGAGAAGAGACACAAACGAATCTCAAACTGAGCAGCTCGCTGCAGAGATGACTCCGGACTTTGCAGTAGGCCACTTTGGTTGGGCCACTCCAGTTGGGAGCAGGTGCTATTCCTCTGCCTGCCCCCTAAAGATCCTGGTGGCTGTCATCATCCAGAACTCAATGAAAAGCCCAAGTATGCAGGAGCAATAGCGGCAAGCACCAGGTCTCACAGGACAGGGGAAGAACCTGTTCCTCTCCTTCCTCCCACTGAGGGGACTCTGATATGATGCCCATGAACTGCCCCAAGTTACTTATTAAGCTCCTAAACAGCCATACTCCAGAGACACACATACAAATCTTAGAATTAA